GGGCGGGCGGGTGGGTGGCATCCCCGGGAGGCCTGGGCCGTGGCGTCCAGGCGGAAAGATGGAGAGGAGCAGGGACCAAGCTGGGGAAGAAACTGCAGCGTGGACGGTGGCCGTGAGAGGAGGCAAGCAGAGAAGGGCGTGAACAAAGGCCGACACAAACCAAAGGTGGTCGAGGCGGTAGGAGAGGAGAATTGTAATTAATAGTGTGAAAGCCCCATAGCCTCTGTATACTACTCTGGGGCCCACTTCAGCTGCAGGCCGGTCTCCTGCCCCATATCGTGGTGAAGCAGCACTTGGGAGCAGCGGAGGTGCTGGTAGGGGAGCAGTGGGGAAAGCCATGTGAGCGCCAGAGGTGGGAGAAGGGATGCTGGTGCAGCCAGGGAAAGTGAATCACTCTGCCAGGTTGAACTGGTGCTCAGGGGAAAAAATACGAGTCGCTGTGGGTGGGGAGCAAACGTCCCGTCAGACTTTCCAGAGAGGTTCCAGCGCCATGTGGGGAAGGGCTGGGAGGGGAGAGGGGACGTGCTGCCACTCCCAGCTTTAATTATTATCCGGCAGGTCGGGGTGGAAGGGGCTGGCGGAGGCCGTCCACACTGTGTTCAGTTTGCTTTCCCAGCATTTGTAACACCTCCTGTCAGAAGACATCCAGCTCTGCTTTAAATTCCTGCTTGTGGGGCCTTCCCCAAGTACGTCTAGATGAAAAAAAATTGCAAAACTTATGCTAGCAAGTAGTGGAGGGAACGAAGCTTGCCAGATCCCCAGTGCAGGCTGCTGACTTTAGGGCACTAGATGTAGCAGACTTGGAGGCATAGGCGTGCAAGAAGAGGAGGGACATGCGTCAGGGTGCCAAGAGACTGCGGCTTCAACAACAAAGTTTAGCGCTCCAGGCCTTGGTGTAACGTAGAGAGAGCTGCAGTCCTGGCACCCCTGCAGGGTGCAGGCTCAGTTCATCCGTCCTGGGCTTCCCCCACTGATAACCTGCCTTCCTTCACTGGGGATAAACACCTGCATCTTACGTGGATGCTGTGTGCAAGCTCTTGGGCTTGTGGTGGCCCCTTTCACACCAGCAAAGTCTGACCTTATTTGCATCCCTCATCCCGGCTCCCTGTGAACCTGGGGGAGTGGTTCACAGCTCAGGACTGCAGAGTTTGTAAATACAGATAACCACGCTGATGGACCATGACCAGAGCTTACAGACCCACTTGCCCCAAACCATCAAAGCAGCATTCAGTGCTGTCAGCAAAGCTGCCTTCTCGTGCTATGAATGCACTCGTCTCCAAAAAGCTTAGAGCAGCAGAAAAGACTTCTGTTTCCTAAGCCAGCGTAGCAGAGCTGTGTATTTTTTAAATGCTGAATTAAAATAAACAATGCTGCGCTCAACAGCCTGCCTGGCTGTATTGTGGGGACAGTTCCTGTAATTCTGCGTACCCTTGGGGTATCTTACATAGGTAGTCAAGAGTCTTCAGAGGAAAGCTGTTGAGAGGAATGTGAAACATTAATTGCCAAAGAGCAGCCTTGTTCAGGCACTCTGCCCTGGCTTGCCTGTGTGACACTTGACAGAAACCTCTCCTAAAGAAATAGGTCCCTTCATTAATAGCTGACCTGTAAGTTTTTGCTCAGCACTTTGTGCTGTAACAAGAGACGGGATTGTCCAGCAGGTAGGGCAAATCCTTATTTTACAAAATAAACTGAAGATTGTTTGAAGGAAAGATGTTTGGAAGAAAGCTGTGCTTCCCTGCTCAGCTGGACACGGGACTATCCTGCCTTGACCGCTGCAGAGCAACTGATGATAATCCCTTTGCTTCTCTTTAATCACCCCGGCTGCAGGGAGGTGCAGAAAGCCGTGAACACCGCCCAGGGGCTCTTCCAGAGGTGGACGGAGCTCTTGCAAGATCCCTCCATTGCCACAAGAGAAGAAATCGACTGGACCACTAATGAGCTCAGGAATAACCTGCGGAGCATCGAGTGGGACCTGGAAGACTTGGATGAAACAATTAATATCCTTTTTGTGGTCCTTTGGAGGTAGGGGTGTGCGGTTCCTGAGTTGTACTAAATAGCCAAATACCAGTACTTGCCAGTAGTTACTTTTTTTGCAGAAATCAGGACTACTCGGGATTGAATTTTGCATTTACATTGGCTTTTCTCAAACTGCAAATGAGAAGTTAAGGCAAATGTGTTCAGCAAAAGGATTTTCCTTTTGCCTTTTTGTTCTCCTTTTGACAAGGTATATTCTAAGATGCTTTGTTCTAGAAAGCCTATTGTGTTGTATGAATTTGGATTTCTGTGTAGTCAGTCATACTCTAGGCTGGCTTCCAGAAATACTCCTTTTCCCTTGTGTTCATCTGAACGCTCCTGAAAGCGCTGCACAGCGTCAGAGAACCGAAAAAAATGCAAGAGAGAAACCTCACACTGGTGCGTGTACTGCACAGTACGTTCCTGCCATGCCTGTTTTTTCCTCCAGTGTTTTGTACTTTGCTAATCAAATTTGGGGAAAAGCCACAGTGCAATGGCCACTCAGTAGATCCCCGCTGCAGCACGCTCGGGGTTTGTGCATCTGTGTGCGTACCCGACACCGCTAACGGGGACTCCTTGACTCGCTGCCTACGCATTGTTGAGGCAAACCCACGGAAATTCAACCTCGATGCGACGGAGCTGGGTATCAGGAAAGCCTTCATCACGAGCACGCGGCAGGTGGTCAGGGTAAGGAGCGTGGGCTTGGGATGGGAGCGTGGGGAAGGCAGGGGGAGTGATTAGGTGATTAAAAAAAAAGGAAAGCTTGTGGCCATTTCCGTGCTCAACTGGAGAGCAGGGAGTAAACCTGCTACCTGCTCTCTCTCAGGCTTCCTCCTCTTCCCGGTGTGCTCCCTTCTGGGGCTGCCCAGATAGGTTTGGGGCTGCGAGGGTGCAGGTACCACATGGCATACCCTCCTTTTCTGCTGCTGCCCCTTTAAGTCTTCACACCTCTCTTGTAACAGCAAGCCTGGGAACCTATACTAAACGGGGAGGAAGAGCAAAGACCCCGCTGTGATGCAGGGGAGGCTGGAGCCTACCTTCAGAGTTGAAGGAAATCACGACTGTCCCGTGCATTTGTAGCACTAGTTTTCAAAAACAGAGAGTCCACTTTGAACACTGACAGATGGTTAAGGCCTAGTATTATTGACGTGGTGACTTCAACTTCCTACCGCTACAAAATAGTCCAAACAACCACTAGATTTATTTTTAACTCAAGGAAGATTTTTTTTTTTTTTTTAGTTTAAGCTCACACTTCAGAAGCAAAAGGAGGATTTTAGCAACTTGGTGGTAATAAATAGAGAAGAAATATCTTCCCAGAAGCTTCACTGCCTGGTAACAAGCTGCTAGTCGGGAAGTTTTCTCCCTATTAATAGCTACACTGAGCGTAGCTTAGTTTCTGCTGCCCCTCATGACTGATGTTCCTGCTTCACAAAATGCATTGCTGTGGCTGGCGGCAAGCTTGTCACCCTATCTGCAGTCCTGTGGTCTGGATGCAGTTCCTGAGGCTTGCTGCCTGGGAACTGATCCCAAAACTGCGCGGGCCCCAGGTAGCAGGCATGTGCTCACTGCCTTGCCCTTGGTGTAGTCCACTCCCAGACGGGCAGGATCAGACAAGCCGGCTCTATGGTCCTCTTTTCCTTGCTGAAAACTGCTGGCTAATGGGTTTTGGAGCAGCATCTCTTCCTGTTAAATGAAATTCGTTAGTGACATTATGCAGCTGACTTCCAGTTTCCATGGGGGAATTTGTGATACACAGCAGCATGTGCATTAGCTGGTAAGAAGTAACCAAGTGGGATCTGGTGCTCTTAGGTGATATATTACACGTCTCTGAACGGTAAAACATACTTAAATGTTCTGGTGACATCAGAACTGTGCGGGTGGATCAACCTCTGCTAGATCATATTGACTACTTGATAATCTACCCTATAAAAACTAGACTACTTTACATTGTGATGGGGAGCCTTCTGTGGCTAGCGATCTTCTACAGGAACTCAACAGCAAAACTTAATTGATAAAAGAGAAAACGTAGGTACAGTCAGAGAGGATGGCCACGGGACAGGAAATCTATCTCATCCTATGCAATATAAAAGCAGATGCAACTGGGAATAAAGTGCAGGGGGTTACAGGCTTCCAAGACCCTGATGAACGTGACTCTATCTACAGTCTATCAGTGGGAACGTTAGTTTTAATATTATACAAATCAAAGTGTTTCTGGCTGTGGTGGAGCAAAATGAGTAGTAAATAAGGAATATTTTCAAAATATCCCATTGCCATTGATTCTAGTATTAGTGAAACGATGAACTGCGATGAAGCTTTCTACGATACCCTTCCAGACTCTTCAAAACTGTACATTTTCAAAGAAAATCTCCCTTCCCTCACTCCCCCTAAAGAAGCCTTGCTGGGTATAGACAGCCCTGTAGCACCCTGAAACCGCCTGTCACCTCAAATCCAATGCTGACATACTACTTCTTTCATTGAACAAACAGGAAATGAAGGACCAGATGTCAAACTCCTCCATGCAAGCGCTGGCTGAAAGAAAAAACAGGCAGGTGAGAACCAGAAATGGGCAAGTTAAGTGAATGCAGTGGCTGTTTGGTACTCTAAGGAGTGAGGAGGATTTATCAGCTCGAGCAGCTGTTGTCTTAAGGTATGTGTTAGGTGAAACTTCCATTTTCACTTACTCTGAGGCCCCACATCATAAGGTAGAGCGTACAGCATTGATCAAAACTGCACAAAAGCTGTAATTACAATATATATCCTGTCTGTAGTTCATCCCCTTAAAACCCTTTGTTCTGGGAAGGGGCTTGCATGCTGCAGCAAAGCTGTGTGTTTGAACCGCGTCTGTTTTGCTGACCTGAGAGAGCTGGTTCTCACAGGCACGTTGCTGCCACCCTCTTCCAAGCCTGTCTCTCAAAGCAATAGGTCAGCACTCGCCATCTGTCTCTGCCTTCAGATCTGGTTGTGTACAACTGTCAGCGTTGCATCATCCCGCGGAAAGGGGAATCTCCCGCCTCCTCGGGGGGAACAGACTCAGAATCCATGTCAGTGAATATAATCCTGCGCTCTGCTGTATTTAGGAGCCAAGATGCTGCAATATCCTTTCACACAGCTGCCTCTCGTAATAGTTAGCCATGTAAGAAGGTGGAAGAAGCTCAAGGAGTCTCAGGTTGTCTGCACTTGTAATCTAAGGAATAGAAATAGATGTGGCTTGTGCTCCTCCCCAGCTGACGGGGGGGCTGTAAGGAGATCTCAAAGCTAACTTCCAGCGCTGCCTCAGTAAAAGTTGGTGTGCACTTCATACAATTAACTTATCTGGCTGCATTAGTCTTACCACTTGTGGCAAAAATGACAAACTGCAACAAAGTGCTGAGAAGCACAGAGCTGATTCCTGAGCTTGTTACAGGGTTAATTGACATGCTTGGCAAACATTTGAAGCGGCGAAGTCCCTTACACCCTTGCTCAAACAAGTCTGTAGCCGTCTCTGTGTTTTGCTGCTTTCCTTTGCGCGAAGTTCCTGCTAGCTGCAGGAGACCATATGGCCCAGCTCGCGTGGCGACATCTGGTCAGGAAGACTGACTTCCCCTTACCGTCTTCCTCTCCCTTCCCCAGCCCCTCGCCTTCCCTCCAGACCACAAAGCTTGTGCGGGGCTGGGCTGCATCGGCTTTTCAGTGTGCCTCTCTGTCCGAGAGGCTGGTCGGTGGTGACCTGACCCTCTAGGGTCAGCTAAGGCTGGCAAACAGAGGCCTTTCTATTGAAGCTGCAGCAAAACTGGTGCACCATGTTAAATAAGCGGTAGCTGCGCTTGCCACGAACTGGAGAGAACCAGGAGCTTGCTCAGTGTCTCGGGGGCAGACAAAGCCAGATGTCCTGCTGGCTTCCTGCGCAGTTGGTCCGTCAGCTTTCCTCGCCCCTCGTTGAACCTTGTAAGGCAGATGAACTGTAGAGACCGTCTCGTTTTTAGCCTGCCAGAGCAGCCTGATCATTGTCTTGCTGTTCTTCACAAATACTCGGTTGTCCCCTCCCGCCCATGACCAGAAGCTGCGAGACGGTCTCGTTATGAGTCGGCCTTGCCTCCGCACTGGTGGGCAGAGCTCCCTAACCCGTTCATGGTGCTGCAGGGTGCAGCTCCTCGCCTGGGGCCACCTTCATTCTCCAGCATCTGTTGCTCGTGTTATTCCCCTTCCGCGGACCAGACTTACTCAGCTGGAAAGCCACGTCTCTGCTGGCTTTGCACAAGCTTCTCTGTTTGGGTTGTAGAGCAGGTAGCAAGCGTAATCTTGTACGCTGACAACTGAATGGTATGCCGGAGGAACAGGTAGCCTGAATCGAAGAACATGAGCATACAACACTGCTGTGATTATATATTGCACTCTTTTACTGTCAGCTCAACTGGTTAAGTACTTTATCCAGACCCTCTTAAGCCCCTGTCATTAGTAGCAGCACAGTGTTCAGTGCGAGCTATACATCTGTTAACACAATATATCCGGATACTTCCCAGCTTACATGTCCTAGCACACAGTGCTGCCTCCTGAGCAGATCTTTGCTAGGCCTTTGTGCTGTGCAGACCTCCTGCGTACACCGTCTGTCGGTCATACTCCAGCTCTCCTGCTGCTGGAGAGGCATAGCTGCAGTATCGGGCTGCAGAGACTTCCGAGGCTGGCATTTTGGCATTGCATTGCTCTAGTTTGTGACAGCACTGTGGCTGAGTAGCAACAGAGCAGGAGGAAAAGGATGCTGTATGCCTGTGCACAGGAGTATTGCCTCGTCTGCCTTCCCACTACACCCTGTAGGCAGGCTGTTAGCAGACACGAGGGTGTTGCTAAGGGCTCTCTGCATCTGTTTAGGCGCTCCTGGGAGAAAGTGGGAGTCAGAGTTGGAGCTCTGGACCCGACAAATACAGCCGTCTGGACCGGGAGCTGCAATTAGCAAATTCACACTTCATCGAGGAGCAGCAAGCTCAACAACAGGTAAGTCAGCTGGCACCATGCAGACTAAATAGCTTTGCTTGCCAAATTGGTGCTGGGGGGAATGAGGTACAGGCAGCAAGAGCCAAAAAAAAAAAAAAAATCCAGTCCTTGGCTGGTCTAGATCCAGGAGCCTGACAGCCCTCCTCTGTGCTTGCAGCATATACCTGTGGATGAATTTCCTGAACAGCACAGCTTTGGATGCATCTTGGAGCAGAGATTTTAATGCTTGAGGCTTGGGTCTTCTGCTCTGTGCAGAAGGCAAACAACATGATCTGGAAGCTGTGGCATGCTAAGCTTTAATACTACAAGGATTGCTGAAATCCTTGGAAGAGTAGAAACGTTGCAAACAGAAGAGAGCTTGTTTCTCTTATGCAGGTTCCCCTGGTTAAAAAACGAGCTGATGTTCGCTGTTGTTTGTGTACATCTTCATCAGAACAGGCTAGGAGCAGGAGCATGTGCCTGCTTCCTCTTCCTGCCTTTGTCAACGTGAGACTCGTGAGAAAGCCTGCGTGAGGGCTTTGCAAGAACCCCTGGCGAGGTGCTTCCCCACCGCTGGGGTAGTTCATCTGGAGAAGTGCCTGAGCAGCGTGCAGGCCCTCGTGCAGCAGCCCACCCAAACACGGGCCTTTAAACAGGCAGCTTCTCGGAGGCGGCAAACTCTGCTAAAGCTCCTGACCCGTGACACCGCCCCGGCTTTCAGACAAGTTTTACCTAGTAGTGACTCTAGGAAGATAAATAGATTCAGAAGTAGGTAACTAGGGTAAATCTAATCCTTAGCGTGACTGTGCCCTGAAAATGACTTAAAACATCAGCAGACCTATTCCTTTGACACATTTGGAGCCAGGCTTGCTATTTTTAGCTGTAGAAGCTGCAACAGCCTTTTACTCGCATTAACCCTTTGTTAGCTGCAGCATGTTCTAGGTTGCATTTCCCAGGCACAGAATCATTGTGGCTCCCTGGTGCCTGCTGCCATACCTGCTGCGGGCACGGGGGCTCGCGGAGGTTTTGATGACCAGCCCCTGTGGCTTTCAAGAGTCACCTTAGCAGTGGATGCAGCAGGGAAGGGAGGAGGCATGGATGAGCTGAGGCTGGATTTGCAGGGATGTCAGGAGACTGCAGCCTGCTGTGCCACAGGGATGCCACGCTGGGGAGGCTTTCCTGCGGCTGTCACTTCTCCAGCATTTCTTAGGAACACAGTCCTCATCCCTGGTGGCTTAGGTCTGTGCCCAGGCCCCACAGCTGATGTTGGCCAAGCAGTGAGTGTCTGACCACCAGCTTAGCTGGCTGCGACCCAGCTGCAGGAGGCAGCAGACCTGTAATTGCCCGTTTCCCTTCTCTTTGGCCCCAGCTGATTGTGGAGCAGCAAGATGAGCAGTTGGAGCTGGTCTCCGGCAGCATCGGGGTGCTGAAGAACATGTCCCAGCGCATTGGCGGGGAGCTGGAGGAGCAAGCAGTGTAAGTATGAGACGCAGCGCCGAAAACCCGGTATGGGGCTGGCTGCAACACAGCTGGAGGTCCTCTCATGCATATCTCTGCCCCTGTTTGAGCCTTGAATTTACAAGTCCTTCAGGCGGCCTCTCCTAGCCGGCCTTTGATTTTAGGCAGTGGAAAGCATTTCTTACTGCAGCCTGCAAGGATCCACCCACAGTCTTGTTCATTTGAAAGCCTGCACCTAGGGCAGGCTTAGCTGCCAGTTTTAACTTTCCTTCTTTCTCCTTCTTTTTCAACACTCCCCCTAAGGCACGCAGTTACACTCCTTGGCTTCAGGCAGCCAGCAGGACTGAACAGATGAGGGAGGGAGGTGCTGTGTAATAGGGAGACGGCGTGCTTTCCCACTCCACAAGGTTTTGTGCTGCTCCTGGATAACTGCTTGACCCATGAGTCCTCAGCTCTGCCTTGCTGCTCTGAAACACGCAGCACAGAGCTACTATTCATAGTTAAAGCTAAAAATATCCCTCACCCACGCAAAGGGTTAAAGGGTAGCTCACAAAGTAATTTGCATCCATCCATTTACATATAAATTAGATTTCTTTCCCAGTGCATGTCCTTTGCAAACAAGTGCATAAAGTTTCCAGTTATGCAGGCTAACAGCTACCGCTTCCAGACAGTCTTGAAGGGTTCGTGCCTAAAAACCCTCTTGGCTGATGGGGACTGGAGGGCTATGTCCCTTGTGAAGTGATATCATCTTTGATGTAGAGGAGGAACTGTAAACCCACCTCCTGTATGAAGTCTTGCAGCGTGAGAGTCTTCCACTCTCACGGAAGCAGATTAGTATGGTGTGTCCGCTTCCAGATCATCATGTAAGCCACCAGTGCTCGCTAGACAGTAGCAGATAACTACCACAAGGAGTTTTTTACAACTCGCTCTTTTTCCCCACTGAATAAAGGTTTAACAAGTGCCCTAGAACTCCAGATGAAGGAAACTGTCTTTTGAAACATGTTAAGCTTTAAAGTCCCACTGGCTTGAGATGATTGGATTGGTACCTTAATTCTGGATGTGCTTGTTTCTCTTCAAATGGGTTCTTGGCATTGACAAAGCATGGCTTCAGGAAGGCTTTCAGATTCATTAGAGTCGCTGTGTGGAGGAAGTAGAGGGGTAACTTCCATGCAGAGCTTAAAAAGCACCTTAAAAGCAATTGCAAATCTTATTCCTGCTTGACACGTGACTGGAACAAGACTTGAGTTTCAGCTGCAAGCCCCGAACAAGAAAAGAGATTTAAAGTCCAAGCTGGCACGTACCAGTCTACCTAACCAGTCTCTGCTGATCACAGATTATAAATAAGACTTTACTCTTAAAAGGAGGAAAACCCCCACTCCTCACCTTGCAGGGATGTGTAGAGCTCAGCCACGAACACGCAGGGGGGACCATTCCAACAGGAGTCCCAAATGACTTCCCACTTTCCACCAAAGCAGAGCTGCTGCTTCAGCAGGTTGTTCCCCGCGCCCCCCCCCCCAGGTACTTTCAGGAGACTGGGCCGCGCTGCATTTCTCCGCCAAGGCGCAATACACTAATCGCATCGGTGTTTTGATCAGTGTGTGTGAGTGCGCTGAGAAATCCCCAAGGGATGCGCTGCTTGCTGACAAGTTCTGTGCTTCTCTGTCCCCAGGATGCTGGACGACTTCTCCCATGAGTTAGACAGCACTCAGTCGCGGCTTGATAATGTCATGAAGAAGCTCGCCAAAGTGTCTCACATGACGAGCGGTAGGTCCTGGGAAGCGGGATCTAGTCCTGGAAAGGGAGAGACAAGCCCTCGGATCTTTGGGCTGGGACGCTATGTGCTCCCGCCTGCTGACAGCCGTCCCAGACCCGAGCTGAGGGGAGGGAGCAGCTCTCAGTGCTTGAAAGAGAAGGAAGACTTCCAAGCCCTGCAGCTGCTCCTGCTCAGACACTGCTCTGCAGCCTGTCCTTTGCCTTTGTTTTATTTACAGATGCCTTTCTATTTATGCTGCTACTGCCGTGGTGGGAAAATCCCCCTCTAGGTGCTAGGAGGGGAAGCTCTGCAGCCTCCTGCTCTGCTGCAGTTGCCCGGGCTGCCTGTGGAACAAAAGCTTTCAAGGTGCCATAAAACACTCGCCACCGTGTGTGGCTTCCCCTGCACCAAACACTTGCCTGGGGCAAGCCCCTTCCCAAATCCCACCTGCTGTCAGGCTGCTGTGCCTGCCAGCCCGCAGGCCTGTGTTGGTCAGATATATCTCTCAGCTGGCAGAGGAAAGAGGTGATTTCTGCGCCCGGGGAGCAGGGGGAGGCTGAACCCACGAGAAAAGTCCTTATAAGGCTGTGCCTGAAGCCGGTGGGCTGGCGGGGCGCCGCAGGCAGAGCAAACAGGAAGCCCAGCGTGCCTGCCGGGAAGTCCCCCGCCGCCGGCTCGCCTCTCCGCGCGCTGGCGATGTGCCCGGCCGTCACCTCCTCCGTTACCCCTCTCCCGTGGGTGCTTGGGTAGCTTGTGGAGGCAGCAGCGGGTTGGCAGGAGAAGCGTTCCTGCTCTGCAGGATTAGGCTGGCCGGGGGATTTATGAGGTTGTGGAAATACGGCCCTAGAGAGACCATTTGGAGTGCTGACAGTGCGCTTTGGGTCACCGGTAGCCCAGTGGCAGCACAACCGCTGGCAAACCTTGCGTGTCTCCCCATTCCTCTGGGAAAAACGCTTTGATCGTTGCGGAGTGCTTCTGAGAGTTGTGAAGGAGCATTTCTACTACCCCTGGCCTCGCACGTGCCGAGGCTGACCAGGAGGGCTCTTCCCGGGGTAGCTGCTGTGCCCACAAGTTGAGGGCTGGCAGCAGCCGTCCCCGCTGCTGCACCATCAGCTTGCAGGGGCTTTCTCTGCCATTGCAGACGTGGCCACGGACAGATAGCAGGTCTCAGAGGCGATGCAGCATTGAGCTTCTGCAGAGCACGTACGGGGCCAGCGAGGTGTAAAGACGTCTGGGGAAACCTTATTCCTGGCACTCTCCCAAGGGGAGCTGCCACGAGCTCTTCCTGGCAGCTTTCACTGGACCCCTCTCTTGTTCCTCTAGCAAACAGGTTACTCCACGAATGAGCAGCAACACACAGCAGCTCGTTCCTCCCGATTGCTTTTGAACCGGCTTATCAAATGTGTTTGAACTTGGCTGGGGAGAAGCCTCAAAATTCCCACAGCTGTCCCCAAAACCAGATATATGCTGGAGGAGAAACCCTGTCGCCCTGTGGGCTGTAGTGGGGCGTGCTGCCAGAGGAGCTGCTGCTTTGGCTTTTTATGGCTTCTTTAAGCTTAAATTGGGCTCCTAGTAGTACAGCAAGAAAAGCTCTCCCCCAATTTTCCTTCCCTGTTAAAGCAGGAAGACTGATGCTTCTTTTCCTTCCAGATCGACGGCAGTGGTGTGCAATTATCGTCCTCTTCGTCATCTTGCTGGTGGTGCTCATCCTGTTTTTCGTCCTGTGATGGACTGAACTTCCTCGGACGCCCCCTCCCCGCCCCCTCGCCCCTGTAGCACGGGGAAATGAAACTCTCACCATTTCCGTCTGCCCACAGAGATCCCTGGCAAGAAAACCCACACCCAGCTCTCACCATGCTCCTCCGAGGACCCTGGCTCGGCTCTGCCGACGTCTCACCTGGCCCCGGGGAGAGGGAGTGGAGGACTGGAGCTGCCTCCTCCCCCGGTGCGGTGCGATCTGGACCTGGGCTCCAGGTCTGGACCTAGGCGGCTGGAGGGGGGCTTGACCCCTGCGCTTCCACCCTGTGCAGGTAGGAGCCGGTTGCAGCAGTCCTGAGCCGCCCGCAGTCGGATGCGGACACAGAGCAGTGAGCCCTGGGGAGGATGGGACGGGGGTGGGGAGGAATTAATTAACTCACTGAGCATTACAAACGAGACACCAGCCCGCGGGTTCTCGCCAGCCAAAAGCATTACCGGGAGGAGCGGTGGCGTGAAACCCCACGCAGCCACGGCCAGGGGAGGGGAGCCCCGGCCGAACTCCCCCCGTCCCACGCTGCCTTCCTCCCACGGGCCGGCTCCGTGCCGCCGACTTGCCGCCGAGATACCACGGTGAGCCTGCAGCAGAGCATTCGCATCCACCACCCCTTGGCAGAAGCTTACGCGCAGGCGAGCCGTGGGCTCTAGTGTCCTGCCGTCAGCCGGCCGGGCGCGATTAGAAACCCCAGAGCTTTAAACTTGGGTTGATGCACGCTGAAAGCTGGCAACCAGCCGTTAGCCGGAGAGCGAGTTTCTTAACGCTTTTAAAATTGCTTCCTTCGTTATACAAGCCTCTAAAGCTCATTGACTGATGCTTTCTTTGCCCTTGTATAACTGAGTAACTGCTTCTGTTTAACAGCTGCTTCCCTTTGGCAAGTGATTTGTCAGGTCTAAAATAACTTATTTTTTTTAAGGAAAAAAAAAAACTTTAAAGATTTTTTTGATGACCGTTCGAGCCATGTTCTCTCTGCGGGTGCACGACACGCATTATCAGAGGAATGGGGCTCAATTATGTATTTTAAGTGCATATGAACTTGTAAATAGGATGTCTTAATTTTTCCCAAGCGCTATTTTTTGGACACCTCTGTTGTAAGCAACCAAAAGGCAGGACATTCAAAGTTAGGTCGTGTTTCTGTATTATTTTCTAGTCCTTTTGTTACCTTTGAGTTGTCTGTCACTCGAGTTGTCTTGGCAGTGTTGGATACCCTAGTTGTCTCCCTCGTACAGTGAATTAGGAGTTAGCCAGGTGGTCCGTGCCAAAATGTGGCGATGAAAGCTCAGCCTGGCAGTGTCGCTGGGGAGAAACGCAGACGGGGGTTTCATGCTGCAAACACCGACTGCAGGATATGGGGTGACTCTTCAGGAAAGCAAAAATGATTTCTTACTAAAGTCTGCTCCCATATTTAAGTTGCAAACACCAAAAGACTCGGGACGGGCTGGCTTACGCCTCCCATCTCGGTCTCGGATGGGGCTGCAGAGGAAGTTAGTTGGTGCTGACGCTAAGACTTCGGCTGAAATTGCAAATCACCCCCAAAAATCACCCTCCCCGAGCGGGAAGCTCACCGCCAGATGGCTTTACCTCTGGGATGCTTAGCCGAGACTGAACGCTCCTCCCCGCCGGGTCTGCGGCTCCCTCCAGGCAGCTGCATGACCCCCAGTCCCTCCGCAGGCGCTGGGCACTGACAGCCGGCGGCACCATGCCTTGCGCAGCCGGGCGCCGGACGGGGCCGCGAGACCGAGCTGCCCTGCCGCGCCTGGGCGGCTGCTCTCATCATGGACGCACACGTGCCCTTAGAGCCAACCCGCGCTAATTGTTTCAGCAGTTGCTCTTTGTCCTCGCGGAGCACCTCGTTTCTTTTGGTTACGCTGCAAGAAATACGTGGTGTCTCCTTTCCAAGGCTGGCTATCGCAGTGTCTGTGCGGCTCCTTGGGCTTAATACCTCTCCAAGAGCAGGTTCCCGGGAGCGCGAGTCCAGCCAGGGAGCGGGGCTTGCCGTTGGCCAGTATTCGCACACCTCCGCTCCCCACGGTGTTTTTGGAGTGGTCATGCATCCTCCGGGAATGACTTCCGGCACTCCATGCGGGACCGCTCCTTCATCAGTCCGGCGTACTGCTGGAGGGTGGCCCAGCTGCTGGCATCACCGCGAGCCACCAACCTGCCTTGGGTCCCTTTTCCTCTGTACGTTTGCTTTTTCTGTTGTTGTTTGTGCCCCTCCCTTGAACACTAAATAAATGCGTTGCTGCTGTGCCGCGCTGGGCAGCAGCAGAGGTCACCGGTCGTTCTCGCAGTGACCCTGGCTCTAGGTAGCGGGAAGAGCTCCCACCAGGATCTGCCAGGCATCACCCTCCTGGCTTTTAAGGCATAAGCAGTAGCTGCAGTTTCTGGGGTCCCCTCTGTGCCACAGGCAGCTGCTGCCCAAATGTGGGGGACGCTGCAGGCAGCTGCTGCCCAGATGCGGGGGTGCCACCATCGCTGCCATGCCTCCTCTGCTTGCCGGAGAGGCTTGTCCCTGCGCAGCCGCCCCGGCGCCGTGTCCCCTTCTGTGGCTGGAAGAAAGAAGCCCCCCACAGTAGCAGCAGGCGCGCAGATCCCTCTCTGATGAGTTACGGATACCTGCAGACGCGTCCCCACTGCCATCCCGGCAGCGCTTATAGGGAGAGGAGGGCAGCCCCATCGCCCTGTGCTCCCCCCCCCAGCCCACCGTGCCACTCACCGGAGCGGGGAACGGGGGTTGTCCTGCTCTTCAAGGAGTGCTGCGGGCGGCTGAGCCCCCCGGCTGCCTGCCCAGGGCCCCCCAGCACGGGCAGGAGGTGGCTGTTGGAGCAACTGGGCCGTGGGAAACCAGGCAGCAAAGACCCTGGGCCCATCCAGACACCTCCCCCTAAAATGCAGGCTGCCTGGGGATGGCAATGGAGACACCCCCCCCCAGCACAGCTCTCTGGGGAGCACCGACCCCAGGAGCCCCCCCCGCCCTGTCCCCATTTCCCCACCCCACAGACCAAATGGGTCCTGGGGCCCCAAAGAGCATCTCCTGCTCTCAGCCGACAGCATCCCAGCTCTGCCTGTCCCGGGGCCACGCGCCACGCCGCCCCCTGCCACCCCGCAGCCAGGACGTGCGCTCTGCACCGGGGTTACATGGGCCCTGGGGGGGCTCAGCCCCACGTGAAGGCACCCGCACGCACCCCAACACCCAGCCCCATTCCCAGCTCCCACATCCGCCAGCAGCCCCACGGCCCTGGGGCTGGGGCACGTCCCGTCCTCCGGCCAAGTGTCATCCCCAGCCCCTCTGTGGCACCTGCAAGCCAAGGGCACCATGTTTTGTGATTACATGTATGTATATATATATTTTTTTTTTTTTTGCAGTTTGAAATAATTTAAAAGAAACCCACCAGCCCACGGGCGCAGGTTTCCAGCGGTGGCAGGGAACCCCACATCTCCTGGGGGCACAGGGATGGGGCATCCCCACGCTGGCCCCCCCCCAGTGCCCAGCAGGACAGACCCACTCTGGCTCAATGGCAGGGCTGGGTTGTCCCCGTCCCCACACTGGGGCAGCTCCTGGAGACACTGGGCACTGTCTGGGGGAGGCCCTTGGTCCCGCTCTGCCTCCCCGGGGGCCGGGAAACCCGCCTGCCCCCGCCGCAGCGGGGAGCCAAGTGTTGCACCGGAGCAGGGCAGGTCCTGGTGCCATGGGGCAGCGTGGTCCTTGCCGCGCTGTCCTGCAGCATCCTGGGACGTTGGTGGGACATCGTCTCTCTCCTACCGGGCTTGCCGGGAGCCGTGCCGTGGCTACCGGGGCGCTGGGCGGTGCCTGAGCACGCGCAGGGACAGGGTGTCCGCCCGCAGCAGCAGCTCACGGATGCGGGCCAGCCCCAGCCCCGAGACGGCTGCCCCGTTGACCTGCAGGATCTTGTCCCCCACGCCCAGGAGCCCCGCGTAGAGCTTGGCTGTGCCGGCGTCCGCCATCTCCTGCACGTAGACGCCTGCAGAGAGGGACGGGGCGGGTGAGCCCCCCACCCGGCACCCCATGGCCGGGACTATGCCCCACTGGGGGTGCTGGGGCTGCCCACTGGGCCTGCGCACAGCAACAAATTCACTATAAATGGCCTTTGGGATGGGCTGCGTGTCCCAGGCCGTGGGCGGATGGACACGGGACTGTGCATGGCCAAAGCCACACGTGGCAGCATCCCCCCATCCACCATCACCCCTTTGGGGCTCAGTGGCGATGGAGCCGCCCCCTCCACCTGCCCCCAAGCTCGCTCCTGGGGAGGGACGGCGCTACCATGGAGGAGCTGTGCTGTGCCGTGCCTCCCCCGAGGTTCATGTGACGACCCCACTGTACCTGTGTCGGGCCGGCCATGTCCGGAGGTGACACAAAACCCGAAGGCGCCGTGGGGGGGTCGCTGCAGCTCCAGCTGGCTGGTGCCGTCAGGGAAGACCTCCACCATGCGCCCCACCGCGTGCAGCCGGCCAGGCACCCCAATGTCCTCCACGCTCAGCGAGCGCCGCGGCCCCGAGCCCCCCTTCCTGTGGGGAGAGGGGAGATGGGGTGAGTGGGGACCCTGGGAAGCTGCTGGGGGACAGGTAATGGGGCCCCCGGTTGCACTGAGCCGCCACATGTGGCTGAGCACCCCGAAACAGCCCTCCCGGGCACGGCAGGGACATGCCAGGCCCCGTCCTACCTGTCGGCCGTGGTCTGGGGCAGGAGGTAGGCGCTGGCACGGGGTGCCTTGCCCAGGAGGGAGTGCAGGCTCTGAACGGAGGCGGCTTTTCGGGGCTGGCAGAAGGGTGATGGTGACACCTGGGGAAAAGCGCCCGGCTGAGGTGGGGATGACCGTGAACACCATGCAGCACTGCAGCCCTTCACCTGCCAACGTGCCCAGGGAGCGGGGGAGCCTGGGGGCATCCCACACTCCCCGTGCCCCCACCAGAGCCCTCCCCACGCCACTGCTGAGGAGGGATAAGCCGGTGTCCCCCCGATCCAGGCCAGGACACTTGCCCAAGGAGCAGGGTGTCTTGGGGAGGCATCTCAGTGCTCAGCTGGCTGGGACACCAAGCTATGATCCAGAACCAAATTACCCCATCTCCCCTCCCCAAATCTGCTCTTCTAGCCCCTCTCACTCCCTCCTTCCCCCTCCCACTCCCCATTTGGCTCCAGGCTTTTCAAACCCAGCAGATTTGGGGTGGCGCACACCCCCACAACTCCCTTAGGACTGCCAGGGCCATAAAGCGATGCTGAGGAATGCTTTGCCCCAGGCCGCCCCCCCTCCTCTCGCGGGACCCCCCAGTCCCCCTGCAAGGGGGAACATTTCGGCTCACCAGCCGCAGGGACTGCAGGGAGGGAGACTTCTTCATGCCGGGGCCGTCTGGGGGGGTGCCACCAGGGGCCGGGAGCTGCTCCATGCTGTAGCAGCGGAAGCGGCCCAGGCGCTGCTTGGTGCTCTGGCTCAGGCTGCACAGGAGCTTCTTCAGCCCCGACGCCGAAGCGCTGCTGCCCTTGCGGCTCGCCGGCTGCACCGGCTCCCTGGATGGAGAGGGATGATGGTCATCTACCATGTGCCTGGCGGGGAGCGTGACTGGCAGCTGCCTCGGGGCTGGGGGGGGCACCCGCCCCCCCCCTCCCCCCCCTGGCCGCCGGCGGCGCCGGCTGCACCGGCTCCCTGGATGGAGAGGGATGATGGTCATCTACCATGTGCCTGGCGGGGAGCGTGACTGGCAGCTGCCTCGGGGCTGGGGCCGCATCCTGCACCCGCCTTCGCAGCCTTGACAGCAGCAGCACGGTGAGATCAGGGTGCACGGTGAGGTCGGGGTGCAGCCACCTCCCCACAGCAGTAACCCAGCATGCGCAAGGGAGGGCTTCACGAGCCAAAGAGACCCGAAGGGCTCCCTACCCATTTTCCCTATAATTACAGGGGTTTAACACCTTTCAGACCTCCCCTACTCTCTGCCTGAAGGGATTGCATCCTGCCAAGGGACCTGAAAAACCCAGCACTGCCTCCAAACCCTCCTGCCAGGCTGAGGCATACTGCGCCTGGACGCAGGCCCAGCGGGTTTGTGTTTGGCGAGCCCCAGGGCAGCCCCTGTTTAGCAGCCGATCGTCCCCAAAAGGGAAGATCCGGCACTAAGCGAAACCCCTCCAAGGCCGCCTGCTGCCACGTTGCTGCAGCGCCTTGTGCAGAACCAGACACAGGGTGAAACGCAGCTCCCCCAAACCCACTTGAACACACACGCGTGCAAAATTGTAACCCCCAGATTGAAGTTACCAGTGCCAAAAGGCACGGTCCCACCGGGAAGCCTTGGGGGGCTCAGCTTGGCAGTGTCGCACTGTGCAAATGAGGGATGCTCAGGGATGCAGCACCTGCCGCGCAGCGCAGGCTGCCAGAGGCCCCTCGCTCTCGCTCACCCCTGTGCCGTGCTCCCGGACGGGTGCCGCCGCTGCTGCTGTGCTCCGGGCGTCCCGGCAGCTTCCCCGGGAAGACGAGTAGCCTCCTGGGGCACGGGAGCGATTGGGGTGGCGGTGGGCTGAGATGGTGGCCCTGTAACTGCAGTGAGACAGTCACATCCCTGCCTCGTTGGGGACCCCCTGGGCACCCCCATGCACGGGTCTCTTACCTCTGCCCATCCCTGGAGGGTCCTGCCTGTCCTGCCCGCGGTTGTTGTTGCAGTTGTTGGTGGACAAGGCATGGAGGGGGCTCCCCGGGAGCCACCTGGGGCTGCAGGGACCCCGCTGCTCCCCCGGCCCTGCCGTGCCCCCGGGCTGGGGGGGCGCAGCACTCCCACCATCAGGCTCTGGGCCCCGGGCTCCTTGGCTCGATGCCCGGCGGCTGCCACTAGAGAAGAGGACTTTCCTGCAAGGCACCTGGGAGCAGGCCTTTTTGGTGGTGGGGGGAGCAGGGAGATGGGTGCCCAGCACTGGGGTGCCAGCCCCCGGCTGTGAGGAGGGGTCTGGGGGCTCACTGGGCTGCTGCAGGGGACAAGCAGCTTTCCCCCCCCCCTCGCTGTCCCCCAGATGCTGTCGGGGGTCCCCCTCCTCCTGGCTGCCGGCTCTCTCCAGCAGCGGGGGGCAAGCAGCCCCCAGCCGGCTCGTGGTGCCACCCGAGCCCCCGTCCCCTGCGCAGGGGCCACCACTGGCAGCACACGTTCCCTTCCCAGCCCTTGGCTCCGGCTGTGGGCCAGCACGGGGGGCCCTATGCCCACGAGCCCGGGGGTCCCGGTGCCCCCGTGGGTGGGGGCTGCGGGGTCCTGCCTCCTCGCTGTCTGTCCGGCAGCCATCAGAGGTGTCGGTGCTCTCCAGGGCCGAGTCCACCTCATCGATGTAGGTGACGTTCCCGATGTATGTCTCCTTGATCGTCTCGGTGTGGATGCGCTGTCGGGAGGGAAGGATCCACAGTGGGGACCCCCGGGGGCCCAGCGTCCTGGTTTTGGGCTCCGGCAGGGCAGCGCTCAGCCCCCCGCTGTCCCCTGGGATGCTTCCTTGTGCCGCAGGGCTGCTTTCAGCCGCGTTGGTGGCTGCCGGTGTATCCGTGCCCCGGCC